GATTGACAGTTGTATTAATATTCGTATACAATATGAATTTAAAATATCAAAGAGGTGGTTGAATAATTTCTTCTTCAGAATGCTCATCGTTTTCTATCGGGCAAGATGTCATATTCGTTGCGTCTGAAATATTCGGTTCTACAATATCACCTGTTATAAATTAGGCTGAGCAAGTCTCATTGTCCACCTCAATGGATTTTCCCGAAAAGTGAATTTAAAAGTTTTATTTATGGAAGGAAATTTACTAGTGTCAATCCAAGAGATGGAGTTATATATCCAAGATTGAGTTATGGAAGTTCAACTATATTAACGAAACTTATTTTATTTTGTTTGATCGATTTTACATCAATCTACAACGATTAATGATGACCAACGCAAAGAGCTTTGGTTAGAAGTGGAGCAACACAAATAGCCATTACTTTTGGATGTATTACCTTTTTTTCAAACTTCTGTCAAGTATATATATGTATACATATATTATATATATATTTATGTATGTGACCTGGTCTACGGAAAGGGGGCTTAGGTGTCAAAAAAATCAATTTTCACTTTTTAGTTGATTAGGATGGAAGATGAGATTTTTAACAGCTGTTTCCCAGAAAACTAGTTTTCGCACGTTAGCTTCCTTTTCGTAGACCAGGTTACACATACATTATATATATATATCTATCAGTTGGGATTAAATTAAAGGATAAGCTGTAGTCGTATACATGAAAAAGTGAGTGATGTAACTTGTTTTTTTTCCAGTAAATTATTTTATTTCATAAGAGTAAAAGCATAGCATCATTAAATAAGTTTTCCACTTGATTTGACAAAAGTTTGAAAAAAGTTAATACATGCAAAATGGCTATTTGTGTTACTCCACTTCTAACCAAAGTATATATATATATATATTTATGTATGTAATAATTTTTGTCCAAGTTTAAATTACTGCGCTTATGAACAAAATATTCATATTTCAGCGCAAAATGTATTTTTACAGTAATACGAAGCATTACAACCCGAACTTTTAATGTACACAAGTATGCTTGTACATATCTTAATATAACGCAATTTAATTGTAATGAAAATTTAAGTTTAAATAATATTAATTCTAAGCGAATTTCTTCTTTCTGCTTTCTGCTGCTTTCTAAATATAATAAAAAAAATCAATTTAAATTTCATTAGACTTGTAACAGTACGTGCCATATTAATATTGAAACGGCACATTCGACGATTTGCATTGGGAATTCATTGAAGGCTGCTTGCAATTCTCGATCACATTGCAGTCAAAAATTATTCGAAAAAATCTTCGATAAAGACGCAGATACTACATTTTTAACTGTTTCTTTGCTTGGCTTTTTTCTAGTTTCCGTTCTCTTGACTGTAGGAACTCCCTGCGCACTTCACTGGATCGTACTTTCAGTATACAACTTAGTTTGTTCAAAATATGTTCTGCGGTATGGGTGTCAGCTTCAAAATCATAATGTTTGAATCGCATGTGAGAATAGTTATGACTAGAGGAGCTGCCTCCACTGCTAGAACTGGTTGAAAATAGTCCAAACGCTGAAGGGACGTGCAAATGATGATGCCCGGGACTTGTGGGAGAATGTGGCACAGCAGCACCACCACTTTCTATTACATGTGGTGTCGATTTTAAATCCGTAGACGATTTGCAACTGCTCATTGTTGATGAAGAAGACGACGCTTTTAACCATATGCGGATTGTGGCTTTTAAATGACGTCGCTCTACAATTTCACACGAAGCAATGACATCAATGGGATAGGTAACAGCTTTTTGTTTAGTCCAAAATTTCGCATTTTTATGGTGGTCAATTTCGATACGCTCTCCAGAAATTCCTAGAGTGACATCTCTTCGAAAGAAAGGTTTTTCAATTATGTTTAATCGATAAGTGCGATACATAGGTGCTTCCAACATGTCATTGTGACTCATCATACGTTCTTCATAGTCATCATTATTGCTGTTAGCAGCACAATTGGAATCCTCTTCTTCGCACCCTCCGCTAGCAGTAGGTTCCATACTCTGGACAGATTGTACAGCTGCAGCTGCAAGCCTTACTTTATCTTCCTCCGATGTCATTGATTTCGTAGCCATGTTATTAGCGTAGTCAATCCGTGTTACCTGCGCTAGTGGCCGTCGCTCTGCTAATGTTAAATGAGAAAATCCAAATTTAGAGCAAGGCTCTTTATCATCAAGTGGTGGAAATTCCTCCATAGCATCATTGTCTTCTGTTATATACAAAGCATAATGACGTATAGATTTTAATGGAATCTTCGGATACTGTATTGTTGCCTTATAGCAAACTAGACCAATAACCTGAAATAAAGTTCTTATACTTTTTGATTCTGAAAATTTAAAAATTTTTAAACTTACCTCAAAAATTTTCGCACTAGCAAGAACACAGATTTTAATAGGGTAATTTCTCTCACGCTCCGGCAACATACTTAAAAATACGCCAATACGTTTTGTTTGTATACCTCTTTGGGAAGTGCCGTCAAAACGGGCATATTCAATAAATTTGTTTTGGGCTTGCTTTGGACTATTAGCTAATTGTAAGGCAAGCCTGCTTTTTACTACAGAGATACCGTTGCCTCCACCACCAGCATCATCAGTAACGTCAATGCTTTTATCGAGATTTTCGTCATTATTTTTGGACTGCTCTGATGTTTTTAATACAGTTTTTTTAACAAAAAAATCATTGCGTTCGGGAGGAACAATTTCGTCCTCGTAGTTAACGGACTTTATTTTCGCAGCGTTACGACGAGCTTCGTCCATTTTTTCCAACTTTTGTGCTGTGTTTGAGCGAAATCTTTGCGCCCATATTTCTGGATACATTTGAATTTCGAAAGACTGTGCAGTTAAGTCCATATCTTCATCATCACTTTGGTCCAAACCTGGATAGCAGACAAAATCTACCTCATGTAGGACCGGGTCTACCATTTCTTGTAAATGTTGTTTATTTCCAATAGATTTCCGTTGTTGTGGTTGCCGGTTTTGATTCGCAGCGTTATTTGCAACAGATGTGGTTTGATATTTACGCAAATAATTCTTGGGCATATCATTGCTCAACATTACGGTCTCACACATTCCTGTATCATCCGTAGATATGAAGGAATTGCGTATATGAGAAAGTAACCAATGCTGGTTACAATAAGTAGCCATATTTTTAGTTTTATTATAAATTAATGAACTTCAAATAAAATTTATTCGTACACTAAACCACATAAATAAATTGTTCATCACACAAAACATAACTGATATGTCTATTTAGCAATCTAATACAGAGATGCCACCTTATTAAACACAAACTTTTGAAAATTAGCAATGCTAAAAAACGGGTAATTAATAATCATCTCATGACAAAATATTACAATTTTTGTGTGGAACCTAAAGTAATGTCGATAATCCAAGCACAAAGAATTGTCAAATTTCTGTAGTCAACCTAGAATCCAAGAGAAACCCCTAGTTCTATTTATTAAAAAATTAAAAAAGGGGTATGAAAAACATGAAACAAGGGTTTGCAAAGCAGATATATCTCTTCCTCATCTTAAGATCAAAAATTATATATACTCGTGTACATTTGTAAAATGTATTTCTTCTAGTCAGTTATATTTTTGTAAAACACAGAAAATACACAGTTATATTTGGTTCATATATATATTTATAGCTAATGAAATGAATTGTAGTAATTCATTTTGACGTCTATGCGTACTTTGTACTCATCATATAGTTTGTTTTTTTTTTTTTTTTTTTTTTTTTTTTGAAACTGTAGAAGCTCGTCTTTTCTGAGTGTGGTATTATTTAGGGTTTTCACAAGTCTCATAAAGTTATATGTTATAACGATCCGAAAACATAGAATTGAGAATTGTTAATATGTAAACTAATTTTTGTATGAAATCCAACAACAATTTTTTAAACAAGTGTAAAAATTTATAATTTTACGATTTTACGATGCTTAACGACGGATTGTGAGATCCCTAATTATAGCAGACAACCGTTCGACTTATTTTATTCATTTAGAAACTAAATTATTCCATCCTAAGCCAGATAATTAAGAAAAAAATTAATTAATTTTCCAATATGTAAACTACATTAATGATAGACATGTGAAGTATCAACTATGTATCAGCAAAAAATAACACTCAAATAGCTTCTCATTAAGAGTCATTACTTCATTTTTTATATTAGAAAAATACCCAGAAAATACGAAAGTTAGATACCGACTAGATATTTCTAAAACAACTGGTATTATCTCTAATCTTTAACTGGATATCATTTTCTTATATAAAATTATTACAAGATTCCTTCTTCTTACACATATTTCAAGTTCTTCTACTTATTAACTATCAACTATATTGGTGCTTCAATGATAATCATACCTGTTTTCCTCGCTATCTACATAAGTTCAAATTATTTTGTAAAATCACCTCACTAGCACCGCAAACTCCTGGAGCAATTCAGGCTGCTGGGGCTCTGGGAGATCATGTGATATGGGAGAGGGCACAATAGACCCTAGGTCGCGGTGCTTTACTTCAATAACATTATCTATCTATCTATATATGCGAGCGCAGTCAGTTTGCTTTGTCTATATATTGATATTGAGTTTCGACATATAATAAAGAAAATTTTGTAAGACCTTCCCAAAATTGGAACATTCCTATTCTAACTGGGTAAACGTGTAACAAAGATAATTCACAAGACGGCACTAAGGAAGATCATATTGTTAACATTTAAAAAATATAAAATTTATTACACACTTTCAAATCAATTCTAAATTATTTTTT